TTCCTTCTTCCCAACCCTAGGTGACTAACACTCTACTTTCCATCTTTATGAGTTTTGACTATTCTAGTTACCTCATGTAAATAGAATCAGGCAATATTTGTCTTTTTTTTATCTGGCTTATATGACTTAGCATAATGTCTTCAAGGTTTATCCATATTGTAGCATGTGTCAAAAGTTTATTCCCACTGAAGACTGAATAATACTTTAAGATATATGTATATACCACATACTGTTTATAGCTTCATTTATTGATAGGCATTTGGGCTGTTTTCATCTTCTGGCTATTATGAACAATTGGGCTATAAATACTGATGAACAAATGTCTGTTTGAGTCTATGTCTTCAATTTTGGGGAAATATATATTTATATATTGAGTTGCTAGATTATATAGTAATTATACATTTAATTTAAAAAATAATCAGTGCACTATTTTCTACAATGGCTACAACATTTCCACCAGTAATACACAATACTACCAAATCTCTACATCCTTCAATCACTTTATGTGGAAATCTCCTTGAAATTCACCACTCATTTTCCAGCCTTTTACAAAGAAAAATATTGAAAACCGTTCAATGCTTTGTTTTTCAATGACTTAGGCACAATGGTGTTCCTTCAAGAATTATTGCAATATCTATATGCTAGACACCATTCCAGTTATTGCCATAGAATGGATTACCCCTTTCAAAGTCCTGTGAAATATTATCCATTTTACAATAAGTAAAGGAGATACACAAAGGGGAAAAGCATTATTCATGGTCACACCACTTGTAAGTGAGAACACCACGAATCAAAGCCTTGCCTCTTTGCACTTAGCTACACTCCTACCATCTGAGAATGTTTGTCTCTATATTAAATGTCTCCAAATTAATACTCTGCTCTTAGAAAAATCTACGTGTGCTGCTTTATGTTTTGTTTTCTTTCTCCTGGTGCTTGTAAAGACATACACTTCTAGTTATTTCCTCTTCAACTCGTTTGTTGATGTTGATAAACTGTCATTAGGAAAAACAGGTAAAGAAGAGAGTTAAAACTGAAAAATAAAAGTGCTTAAGTTCTGAGGGAAAATCTAAGGGGTGAGTCTAAGGGTAAAATACCTAAGATTAGGTGTTTGGCTTTCATGATCTCTATTTTGTGGTATAGTGACATATGCTGCTTATCTCTGGCTTTCTTAGGTTGCAGGTACTGACTCTGCTATTACAAATAACCTTTGACTATGGGTGCTTACTATTTACCATATCCATATTTAAAATACAATGTAATTTATAGAAAAAGTGCTTCCCCAAAGCAACAAATTTCCTTTCAATGTTTCTAAAATATTTAACCTAATATTTTAGTATACATACAAAATCAAGGAAAAGGCTTTGGGTATTGAAAGTATCTGGTCTCTCATCATGACTATTCAAACTAAGTTATAGCCACCATCAATATCAACCTGGGAATTTATGATATGTCATTTATGTACTCTTTTTCCAGAAAGAGCAAGCATTTCTGTCTTTGCCTAACGCAAACACAGACACACACACACACACACACACACACACACAAAATGAAATGCTGAGAATTTCATTATCAAAATATGAAACTTACTTATTTCAATGTGGAAGAGGTCACTAGTAAAATACATATAGCCAAGAGTCCTATGTATCAAAAGCTCAAAAGCTTCCTTTTTAAAAAGTAAATTATCTATTCGCTCTCCATACCATTTCATCATCTGATTTTCTGGAAGGTGTGTTTTTGATATGGAGCTTTCTGAAAGGTTTCTTTTCATAATAAACAAATGAAGAACACAAGTAAAGTTGACAGGAAACCCTACACCCAAAATACAAAAGAAAAAGGAAAAATTAAGGTTACTATAGAGATCTGTGAAGGAGAAGAGTTTCAGAAGCCCAGACATGATTTGGTCCATTAAGAAGTGCCTGATAAATACAGTCTTTGAACTACTAAACCTATCATTAATGTCCACTTAAATGCTCCAAGCAGTTTAACTTAGCAAAATTAGAGGGCTGGGGATAAAAAAAAAAAAAAA